AAGGAAATTTGTCAGCCAAATTATTCCAAATCAGGCAAGGATTGATGAGATGTCACACTGTCTCAAGAGTGCCACCATTTTATGAGTTCCTAGTATATGATGAGCCATGGCTTTACATTCTGGTAACGGTGAGACTCAATTCGCCAAAAACTCGCCAACCTGGCTCTCCTTCTGTGGTAAAGTTTGTTAAACTTGGATGACAGTCTGAAATTTGTAGTAGAGGATTTATATAGTGCAATGCCACCATTTTATGAGTTTCTGATATATGGTGAGCCATGGCTTCACATTCTGGTAAAGGCGAGGCTCAACCATTAAAAACTCGCCAACCTGCCTCTCTGTCTCTGGCAAAGTTCATCAAACATGAAGCACTGTCTGAAACTTGTAGTAGGGGATTTATAAAGTGAAGTGCCACCATTCTATGAGTTCCTGATATATGGCGAGCCATGGCCTCACATTCTGGTGAAGGTGAGACTTAACCAGTAAAAAACTCAGCAATTTGGCTCTCCTTCTCTAGCAAAGTTCATAGAACTTAGAGCACTATCTGGAATTTGTAGCAGTTGGTATATAAAGTAAAGCACCACCATTTCATGAGTTTCTGATAGACATTGAGCCATAGCTTCACATTCTGACAATGGCTAAACTTAATCTGGTGATTCTTCACTCATCTGGCAGTCCTTCTCTGGTAAAGTTAATTCAACTTGAAGCACTGTCTGAAATTGATAACAGCTGTTGTATAAAGTGAAGGGCCACCATGTTATAAGTTCCTGATTGATGGCCAGCCATGGTTTCACACATAAAAATGCTAAATGACCAGCTGGCACTGCTTCTGTAATGAAGTCTGTATGCAACAGAGTATCATCTGAAACTTATGGCCAAAGTTATATACTGTTGAGTATAAACTGCAACTTGGAGTGGCAATATCATATTGTGACTTAACAGATATTAATTCTCAATAACAATTAAGTGTAACTCTTTGGAGAGAACTACACTTAAGTTTATAAAGTGTGTTTTGCTTCTCATATAACTAAATGTCAGACATTTGTTAAAAAATGACAAATGTATCTTTTTCAAGACAACATGTAGTTAACTGTAACGTTAAGTGATTGGCAAGCTTTACTTCTCAAAAAACAGCAAAGTTTACTTCGAAAGAGTTAGAATATTTCACTCTGAGCTCTATAAACTTCTTATAAGCTTGTCAAAAATCTATCTAGCTCTGATATAAGGTGTATGTAATCACCATCCTTTAATGTAGATAGAAAAATGTATTAAAGAAGAATCTCAGATGTATAGAAGAAAACTCATATAGGAGCCATTATGTTCATGTAGATGTGTGTGCACTCAAAGACTAAAAAGGAAAGTGTGATTCCTTGACCAGTTCAGCAAGTCACGTGAAGTTCATTAAAGGTAGACAATATTGAATTCTTCACATAACACTAAGTGATTACAATCAAAACTAACCACAACTTCATATCTCGCATATAAAGTGTTGTACTTTATTACACATAGTATCATGCAGAGAAATGGTAAGTTGTATGCTGAACTTCTCAAAGTGTTCACAGATCATTAGAATGGCTGTGTATCTTGCTAAACTTCAAGAAGTAATGCAAGGCTTCTAATTTAGAGCATACAACTGCTGTTGTAAGATTTAGTCACTCTTCCATATTATATATATATAAGATTATCACAGCCAGTTAGCACGCTAACTTGTGAGTGTATTTAGGATGATTAGATGTGGCTCACAACCAACTACGAAGTCATACAACACTGGCATTGAATAGTAATGCAACTGCTGCTCTAAGTTTTGAAAGGCTTAGATACTTCACTTTATAATAAATAGCAGATTGTCAGCATTGAATCTCAGTGCATCCACACTTTGCCAAAATGTACAAACACAAATCACAGTATATAGCTACTGCTACAACTTATAGTTAGTACTTTGTATCATATGAAATTCATCAGTGTATGTGAAAAAAGAAGTATCAGATTGCCAGTTACATTTTCCCTGTGGCTCACCATCTATAAGGAACTCACGAAATGCTGGCACCACTTGATATAACATTTACTTCAATTTTTAAACAGTGCTTTAAGTTAGACAACCTTTATCAGAGAACAAGTGCCAGATTGGTCATTTTTTTCCTGGTTGAGTCTAGCTATTATCAGGATATGAAGCTGTGGCTCACCATTGATCAGGAACTCAGAAAGTGATGGCACTTCACATTATGAAATGTCTACCATAAATTCCAGACAGTGCTTCAAGTTTGACTAACTTCACCAGAGAAGAAGAGCCAGGTTAGTGATGTGTTTATCGGTTGAGTTTAGCCATTATCAGGATATTAAGCTATAGCTCCCATCTACAAGAAACTCAAACAATGATCGTGCTTCACTTGATACCGCAGCTACTATCAATCCCAGGCAGTCCCTCAAGTTTGACAAACTTTACTAGAGAAGAAGAGTCAGATTGCTGATTTTTTACTGATTGAGTCTCACCTTCATCAGAATGTGAGGCCATGGCTCGCCATATACCAGAAACTCATAGAATGGTGGCACTTCACTTTATAAATCCCCTACTACAAATTTCAGACAGTCCTCCAAGTTTAACAAACTTCGCCAAAGAAGGAGAGCCAGGATGGCGAGTGTTTTACTAGTTGAGTCACACCATTACCAGAATGTAAAGCCATAGCTTACCATATACTAGGAACTCATAAAATGATGGAATTTAACTTTATAAATCCTCTGCTACAAGTTTCAGATAGTCCTCCAAGCTTAACACACTGCACCAAAGAAGGAGAGCCAGGTTGGCAATTTTTTGGCAAATTGAGTCTCGCCATTACCAGAATGTAAAGTCATGGCTTGCTGTCATGCACCAAAAGTGTTTGGCTTGTGAACACATAACCACTGGTGAAGCGCTCGATGAAGAAGTCACATGACTAGGATGGAATCCAAGAACGTTTGGCCGAGTGTGTCACCTGACACTCACATTATGCTATTGGATGAGAAAAACTCGGAAAGTGCTTTCTCCCTACTTCTCCCTGCTCACTTTATGCTATTGGACACAGAGGTCCCAAGAGTTTTGTCTTCCCTGTTTCTCCCTGCTCACTTTATGCTATTGGACATAAAGGTCCTAAGACATTTTTCCTTCCTGCTTTCCCCTTTGATCACGTGATGCTCTTGTTTTGCTATTGGCCAATCTGCCATGTAACACTACTATGTAATGGTCACAATGGATGACACCCGAGGGGTATAAAAGGGCCCCCAAGGTGCCCCGACCCTCAGTTCTTCTCTCCCCACTTGTAGCCCCCTATAAGTGAAGAGTTCTCCCTCTGCTTGTAGCTTACCCTACAAGTAATAAACTAAAAGAATAGGAGTTTGTTTCACTCCTCCCAGTAGCTTGTTACTCATAATCAAAAGGATCCCGATGAAGTCAGTTCAGCACAGGCAGTGAGTCGTTACAAACACAACTACTGCACTCTCATATCGTTTCTTTTGGGTAGTCTAGCACACAGTTGCTAGATACTCAAACTGTTCTCGGAAAGTTCTCAGACAACACATAGGAAAGTTATTGGCCAGGCACATCGTATTAGGACACGCACACTCAGTAAAGTCCTGCACACAGTTGTAGGCACTGGATAGGACCACAGAAGACTCGGTAAGCCCTGCACACGGTTATAGGCACACGGATTAGGAAGACGATGAAGACTCGGAAAGCCCTGCACTGGTTGTAGGTCTCGTAGAAGAACACCCATTAAGCCCTGCACTGGTTGTAGGCATCATATAAGAAGACAGAACACAAGCCCTTGCACACAGTTGCTAGGCATCCCCCCCACATTTCCCCATCTGTATTATGCAGACTCCCCATTCGACTTTAGACAACAGGACACATGTATAGCTCAGGCGTCCCTAACCCACTATCATAAATTTGATATCAACGAACAACTGTAATAGCCCGGCGTACTTTCCATTTTGCCACACCCGGTGAACCACAGCGAAGTACCACACCTTTCAGTCATGTTACTCTATCTGACTACTCAGCTGACACTGACATTGTCGGTATCTGATAACCCAGCGGATGTGGGCTGACAGTCGCCATGTTGGCCTATACCATTGGCGGGCTGATGGATGGCATGTTGACTGTGGTAGTGGTGGGCCGACTGCCACATGTTAAAGTAAGTGCTAGGCCGACAGCCACCACTTCCGCCAGTGCTCGGCCGATTACCACCACTTCCGCCAATGGTGGGCTGACCACCAGATGTTAAAGTGAGTGCTAGGCCACCGCCACCACTTCTGCCAGTGCTCGGCCGATTGCCACCACTTCTGCCAGTGCTTGGCCCACTGCCAGTACTTCCACTAGTTATATGCATCAGTGCCATTGACATTAACCCCATGGAATTTCGTTCAGTTTGAAATGTGAGCACAAAACAGCAAGATGATCTCTGGAACAATCTAAGTACATTGATATACATTAAATGCATGAAAATATCATCCCCTTAGTTCAAATGGTACTCCTCCTCCTGAAGCTCCATCAGGGTGAATCCCATGTCCTTCACTGTGTCCACCACTGTGCTCGCTGCCAACCAAAAATCTTGGGCCAAAGTCAACTCCCTCTGCAGATGAATGATCCATTCATGCAGCACTGCTCAGCGATGAGTGCGCGTGAAGTGATCAGGGGCATTCTCCATGTTTACTGCACATGGCATGAACAATTAGACATTGACCTCAACTTGGAAGCACATACTAGAGGTGTCCACATCCTCAGCTATTTTCGCAAATGACCTTCCATCTTGGCGATGTCCATGGTGCGAGGCCGCATCGAAGTTTTGATCAATGTCTATTGGCATGGTCATCATGGTATTCCGCCTAAGTCCACGGTGCTCCTCCCAATGTGTGCTGGTCCGAACAGGGAGCTCATCAGGAAGTGGTCCTACAGGGAAGGGCAAAGGACCAAATGTCAGGCAGTCAATCTGCCCGTCCAAGCCGTGGATCGATGGCGTGTCTTCTCAAAACTAAAGCTCCATCGCCACTCTTGCGGAACTTCCTCCAGGAGCCTGGGGAGTGCGATCCGATGAATTATGCATGGGAGCTGGCATAGCATCAGACCAAGGAGCCCACAGAATGAGGGGCACTCTCACCTTCAGATCTTCCAGCCATGAACACATGACAATGCAAGGGTGAATTTTGCATGAGACCTTGCAGGTGTGGGAACCTTGGCGGCAGAGTGGGTGTGGCGAGGCAGACTTGAGAAAGTGGCAAGAGTGCGGGTGACAGCATTGGTGACCTGGAAGATGAGATGCCAAAGTCATCTGTGAGCATAGCAGCTATGAGAGACAGAAATTCATACGAATTGATAGAAGAGCTTGAGGGAGTCTCTGGGAGCATGGCCTGCCTGGCGATGGAAGATGGGCTACGGGAGAGTATCAGCTGCCTGGCGGATGGCATAAGCTCCTGTGCAAGTGTCGGTTCCCTCGTAAAAGGTGCTGGAGAGAGCATAGGCTGTCTGGTGGCAGGTGAAGAGTTCTGCATCAGCATCGGCTCTCTGGTGGAAGGTGCAGGGGATAGCATAGCATGCCTGGCAAAAGGTGAAAAGCCCTGGGTCAGCATAGGCTCCCTGGCGGACAGTGTAGGGGACAGCATTGGCTGTCTGGTGGATGGTGAAAACCCCTGGCTGAGCATAGGTTCCCTGGCGAAGGGTGTAGGAGACAGCATTGGCTGTCTGGCAGATGGCGAAAACTCCAGCAACAGCATAGGCTCCCTAGTGGACAGTCCAAGGGACAGCATAGCCTGCCTGGTGGGTGGGGAAGGTGAGGGTGCTTGGGACAACATGCCAGCTCATGGAGTTGAGCCTGCAAGGTTGAAAACTCAAGGCGGTGGCAATGTGACACTGATCAAACATACCAGTATCAACCTCCACTCCCTCCATCGCAACTCCATGTCCTCCACCAGGGTTCAATACATGGTGGCGGGTAGATCTGTGTACGATCACTTCTTCATTACAAGCGATTGGAGCTGTAATTAAATTAGATATGGCATAATTAGATCAGTAACAGAATCGAAAAGTGCAGATCTGTCCACAAAAAACTCAGAACTTACTACGGCCAGCCTTCGGTGCCATGGAAGTGTGCAAGTGGATGAGATTCTGACTTGTGTGAATTCGCGAAATCGCTAAAGTCCATAGCACATGTGCTTGTCATGTGATGCGCATGCAGCGTGTCATGTTGAACTTTGCCAAGTCACCATCGCCAGCTCACCATCATTCCTTGCTACTCCAGACTCCTCACTGCTTCTGCTCTCGAATGTCACCATATCCACCAGCCTCCTCGAAGACTTGAGACATCAAGCTGCATGTCTGACTGCCATTGTCACCATCGCACTGGCTGAAGGCACACCGGGGTACTTATGCTGGGAGGGAAGGCTCTATTGGGAGATGGTGAGTGTGAATCGTGATCAGGGTGTATGCTTACCATAAGCATGCTGCAGGATGAATTCCAGGGTAAGGTCAAAGGTTTGGTGCACACCCTGCCCATGCCCGCCATCATGCTCAGCACCATGGTGGAGTTCACTCACTCAGCCACTGAGCATGACAAGGCGTGGCTGTCCAAAATTTGCAAGGATGATCCCAGGATATTTGCGAGGTATCCCAATGCAGTCAAAGACCCAGAGGCATCACACCTTTCAGTCATGTTACCTGAACTGAACTCCCATTTACCCTGACATTGTCATGAACTGGACAGCCAGCAGATGTTGGCCCATTGTCACCATGTTGACCTCTACCAGCAGTGAGCCCATATCTTTCATGTGTGAGATACCAGCAGTGGGCCCACCGCTAGTGTTCTTCTCCCAGTGTTCAGCCCACTAGCAGGGCATATTACAGTGTTGTAACCGTTAAGCAATGGGCCCACCACCACAGGTCAGAGGGTGGGCCGACGCCAGAGCATGTTATCGCCATCGATGGGCCCACTGCCAAAGTATGATCAATGAGCAGTGGGCCCATCGCCACGAGTGTAAGATGACGGATGGGCCCATCGCCAAAGGTCAGAGTGTTGGCCATGACCAGAGCATGTTTGTCTGAGCAATGGGCCCACCGCCAGAGTATGATGAATGAGCAGTGGGCCGATCGCCCAGAGTGTAACCTGAAGGATGGGCCCACCGCCAAAGGTTAGAGAGTTGATGATTGCCAGAGCATGTTATCGCCAACAATCAGCCCATCGCCAAAGCACCCTCAGTGAGGGCCTTACTGCAAGCACCCATGGGATAGGTCATTGCCAGGACATATTTCCGCCAGCAATCGGCCCACTGCCAAAGGTCAGAGGGTTGGCCAATGCCAGAGCATGTTATTGCCAGCAATCGGCCCACCGCCAAAGGCCAGTGGGTTGACGATCACCAGGATATGTCATTGCCACCAATGGGCCCATTGTCACATACAGCCCTGCAGTTTCTGGGTGCATTGGTGGTGATGACATGCTCTGGTGATCGCCAACCCTCTGACCTTTGGCGGTGGGCCCATCACTCACCAGCACTCATGGCGGAGGGCCAATTGGTGGCGAAAACACGGCTTGGCGATAGCCAACCCTCTGACCCTTGGCGATGAGCCCTCTGCTGGCAGAGCAATATTTCCATGCAGTGAAACTCTCACTCAGATCCTTTGGGGATGGGCCAATTGCTGGCAACAACATGCCTTGGTGATGGCAAGTGCAGTCCGCCCATCTCAAGAGTACACTGGAGGAGCGATGGGCTTTAGAGCTTAGTGATGCAGAAGTGAATGTATTCATTTTGTACTGGTATACAAGCTGTTACATAGCGGTCATATATTGCTAACACCAGAACACTCAAAGACACTAGTTCAGTTGCTGCGATACGCCTTACCACGAATGTCCCTCAGAATGTACCCCATTTGGAACACGGTCGAGCTGGCATTGAGGTTCGCAACATGCATATCCTCAGTGAGGTTGAGCTCACACTGAAGACGTACAATGCGCTCCCGCAACATGGTGCGATGATGACTAACTGCAAAGCTATCACCTTCATCATCGTCCACTATGAATAAGGTCAACATCAGACTGAAGGTTGCCAGGGATGCACTCACTGGAACTGTCTGCCTCTGCTGCGATCTGTGCAAACGATCTACCGAGGCAGGCCACTTATGAGCCAGAAGTGGCATTCATCTCTCCAGGGACTGCCATTGGCAGCAGCTGTGTGGTATCTGGGAATAAGCCTGGAACCTGTTCCCAATGGGTGGGATGATGGATCGGCAGCTCATCTGGAAGTGCTGCCAGACTTGGCATCCTGGAAGTAACAGTGACTGGCTCGATGCTGCCTTTCATATAGTGAATGACAGGTGCATCATGGCGGAAATTGCTGTCATCGAAAGTGCGAGCTGGCAAGTAAGAGGGCACCGATGATGGAGGTGGTGGACTTAAAACATCGTCCAACAAAGGCCGCCTCTTTGGAGGTGAAGCGCTGGGACTATTTAGCCACCGGACCTGGCTACGCACAGGTGTCGTGCCAGGGCTGTCTATCACCAGAGCTCGCCATCATCCTGGCATGGCGGGAGGACTATTGTCAAAGTCCAACAGTTTCAGCACTGATTCCGCATCAAGTGTCTCGTCCACCAGCATGCACCTTGCCATCCGCGTACTTGCTTGACTATCGAAGTGGATGGACGTACGTGGCGTAGCGTCAAGAGGCTCAGCGATGAGCGATTGTCGACGGAGTTGGGAGGTATCAGAAGTGTGAAAGTCGAAAGTGTGAGCTGGTGGAGGAAGGGGAGTAGCTTCCAACAGGGCGTGTCGAGGGATTGGCGAGATGCCAGAAGTGTCGAAGTCGAACATTCCACTGGGCGCAGTGGGGGTGGAATCTGAGATGAGTGCACGCTTATGGATTGGCGAAGTGCCACAAGTTTCATCCCAAGTTGGCACCAAAGGGTCAGGAATAAGTGTGCGACTTCCCTCCACAGGCACCACAGATCCAGATGATGCCTGTACCTTAGGCGAGGTGTGGCAGTGGAAATGCTCATGTGGCGAGTTGGATGGTGCAAATGGAGCTGCCAGGGACGGGGTAGTGCGGCGAGGTGCGATAGGTGTCTGAGAAGCAGAGTGGAGAGGCAAGGAGATCTGGGCAGATCCAGGAGAGTCAAGGAGATCCGAAATGAGTGGACAATGGGGCTCAGCGATACTATCCTCCTCATCCAACTCGCCCATCGTAATGTCCAGCGTGTCAGGAGGTTCCGCGTCACTGGCCATGGCAGGTAGATTGTGGTGAGCAGACAAGTCTTCGATCAGTCCTGGATCGTGGGAGATCAGTTGTAGAAAGGGGATTGATATGACATAGAAAGGTCAGATAACGTCACAAAGGAGTCAGATTCCACAAGGAGAGCAATAGAACTTACTGTTGGGAGCCATGAGAACTTGCGGCAGGTCACACTGACCTTGAGAGACTTGAGAAATCGCACAAGTCCAGCGATCACATGCAAAGCACGTGGTCACATGGCGTGTGAAGTTGAACTTGGTGCAGATCACGTCTGCCAGTTCATAGTGTTGTCTGCTCTGCCTCCGCTGTACTGCAACCTCTGCTTTTGAAACACCCTCACGCTTTCTTCTGCCAAGCTCACCATGCCTCTGGATATCGACCCCAACTATGTTCTGCAGGCCGCGCGACTGATGGCCATTGTTGCAGCAGCGCCTCACCAGGATGACCCTCGCTATCTGGACTGGGAGATGAGGATTTACCTCGAAGTGGTAAGTCATCGGTCGAAGGTCTGGTATGCACTTACCGAATATGCCACACAGAGTCGGCTTGAAAAGAGTTTCCCGCAGCCCTTGAAGTCGTTGAGGATGCCTGGCATCATCATCAGCGCATTGCTGGAATTCACCCAGGCATACCAGCAGAAGGCCCTGGCATGGCTGGACCACATATCGAACGATGATGAGAGGATATATAAGAGGTACCCTCTGGCTGTGAGCGAGTATGGGGAGTGTGAGGACCTGGGAAGGCAGTGGTGGACTGAAGGTGAGTCACAAGTGTTGTGAGGCATTGAGCAACACACTGACTGCACCAGATCCATATTGCAAGCTGCCACTGGTGAAGAGTACGCCAGCGACCGGCTCGGGCAATGTGCCAGCCGATGACAACACCCAGGGACGTGGCACGGAGGACTTGGGGACTGGGGACCTCATCACCAAGGGGAAAGGCAAGGAGAGAGCTGTCAACGATGCCGGGACAGGCATGGTGGGTGATCGTATCGTCCACGTGGAGGTGGGGGAGGACAAGGGAAAGGGAAAGAGCAAGGAGAAGGTGCAGGGGAAGGCAGCGCATGCGATGAGTGAGGAAGAGGATGAGAGAGAGGGAGAGGGAGAGGAGCAGGAGGGCGAGGACAATGACGATGCCAACAATGATGACGGTGATGAGAACGATGATGCCGACAAAGATGACGATGATGAGATGGCGGAAGACGTGCCGAGTGCAGGCCAGCCCGAATCCATTGAGGTCGATGTGGCGTCGCCTGCTCTGCCAACTGCCAGACCAACATCGATCTCACCAGCTGCCGCACCACTCCAAAAGTGCAAGGCCGTCATCACGGAGTCAAGTGAGGAGAGTGAGAATGAGGAGGCGGCTCTGAAGGTGAAGCAGATGAAGCCGATCGAGGTCACAAAGGAGAAAGGCGAGGCCCCGACCACCTCTGCTCAAGCCCAGCATGTCCAGAACAGGATGGCGCAGACTGAGGTGAAGGGCTTGAAGGTGAGCAGGAAGAGCGGGAAGAGGAAGGTGAAGAAGTCGAGCGATGAAGAGGAAGTACTGACCACCAAGCTGCCAAAGAAGAAGCGTGCGACGAGAGAATACAAGAGCAAGGAGTTCATCGAAAGCGAAGATGAGACTCCGGCACCGCCTTTCAATCTACCTGCCAAGACTGCAGGGGACTCTAACGCGGGTGTTGCGAAGATAAATGCCCCTGCCAAACCTGTCAAACAGACAATGAGGATCACAGTGTCGCCTCATGTCACACTGAAGGTGAAGGCAAAGGGGAAGGCAAAGGCGACGGGGAAGGTGAAGGCAAAGGCGACAGGGAAGGCAAAGGCGATGGCATCGCAGAAGGACAAGTGGAAAAAGACGTCCACCCACGTGTCTGACTTCATGTGGGCACATGCAACGGATTCGGTGAGTAACGATCTTGTGAGACATTGACCTGTGCTAATGTTCCTGCAGCTCGTCCCTTGCGTCGGCTGCCAGGAGAAATAGTGGCCATGCAAGCTCAACACCACCAACTTCGGTCGGTGCCTCGAATGTGCAGCATGAGGCATCAGTTGCAGCATCGTGCCGAGGAACATGGATGGCGTGTCCCTGTGAGGAAACTCTCACACCACACAGCGTGAGTTCCAAGAGATGTGCGCAGGGCTGGTGTTAGAGGGCAAGCCACTGCCCACGTCGCCACCTCCATATGACGTTAAGGTCGACTCCAATGAGCCCGACGGTGCAGAACCCATGGTCATGGGAGCGTCGAAGCGCAAGCCGCCGAAGAAGACCAAGACGCGCAATGCTGCAGCATCCAGCTCCAAGGTCAAGGGTGGCGAGGAGGTCGAGGCGACAAAGCAGAAGGCGACCGCCATGCCCTATGAAGCCAATGCTGAAGGCGAGGCCTCGGTGGAGAAATCGTCGAAGTCCAAGTGCGCCACCGAGTCCGCCACCGCCACTGGAGCTGTGGCTCTGTCCAACTCTGGCGAGGTCGCCAACTCTGGCGAGGTCACCAACTCTGGTGAGGTCTCCAAGTCTGGTGCACCTGCCAAGTCTGGTGCAGTCGCCAAACCTGGCAAAGGTAAGAAGTCAGGACCCAAGCCAAAGCTGGTGAGGAGCCAAAACTCAGGTGTGCAAGATGGTGGTGAGGTCACCAGGACCTCAGTACGTGAGGCGGATGAGGTCCCGCCTGCCAAGTCTGTTGCGAAGGAGGGTGGGCAGATGACAAGGGTGGCAATGGGAGGTTGCTCAGGCCCAATGGTGCTCGTGATCACCAGGAAGGCCAAGGTGAATGCTCGGAAGGCAGCAGCCAAGGCGCCTCTGGTGGAAGGCGATGGTATGGAGGAAGCCGCCAGGCTGGCAATGGAGGCGGTGCAGGCTAGGGCCTTCCAAACAGGGCCAGCTGCTCCGCTGCAAGCTAGCAGCAGCAAGCGCATGCTGACACCAGTCGCCGACAAACCAGAGGATGTGCCAGAGTTTCGGGCAGAGGTGGCGGAGGATCAGGTAAGCAGGACATCTTGTCGCAGCTGGAGTCGATGTAACCATGAAACAGCGCACGTCCTTGGAGTGGCCACACGATGATCGGCAGCATTCACTGCTGACACGCCACGAGATGAGTGCAGGAGCTGCCGAGGTGGCACAGGAGGTGACACCCTCCCTGGAGGTATCCAAGGCGTCGAAGGGAGTGAAGTCCTCCGCATCAGCGAAGGCGGGACACGTCGATGGAGGGCGAAGGCCAGCAAAGAAGGGCACCACACTGGACCACAAGGCAGTGAAGAAGGAGGCAGAGGCGAAAAGGGACACGAAGGCGAATCGTCTCAGAGCAGTGCCTCCAACCAGCAAGGGTGAGTGCACCTGCCACAGGGTCGAATCCATGCAGCGCTGACCAGGGATACAGCACCCCACTTGCGCGATGTCCAGTGAGTGTCGACAGGAAGTCCTGCTCTGGCGAATGAAGGCGACACCACCAGTGGTGAAGAAACCTTGCAGTCATCCAACGATGACTGCGTGAATTGTGCTGAGTTGTGACAGGAGTTCCTGGCGCACAAGGATGGGATGGAAGTCCAATTCCAGGAGAGGATGGCGGACCTCAACACCGTCAAGGCAGAGATCACAGCGGTGCTCCAGCGAATGAACCCGCCATCCGCACTTCAAGAAAATGCCCGAAGCATTCGCAAAGAGGCCAAGTTGGCGATGGAAGAGTTTCGCAGGCCGGTCACCATTGAGCTTCAGGAGAGCATGAAGTTGGCAGTGGTGGACCTCGTCGCCAAGCGACATTGCCTGCCAGAGCTCAAGGAGAAGGTCAACAGGTTGGAGCAAGGCGCAAACCAGACGGTGAGCCAGGCGGACATCGAGAAGCTGCAGGGTGAATTGGCCGATCTCCGTCATTCGATGGAGCTCCAGGCAGCATGGTCAGACAGCATGGAGAAGGAGCTCAGGTCTTCAGCGGCAGAGGCGATCGCTCAAGTGAGCAAGCTGGAGATGGAGTTGACACTCGCCAAAGAGGATTCGATGGTGGTGGCGACGTCCGCTTTGGATGAAGCAAAGAAGGTGATGAAGGAGGTGGCGACAGCGAGAGAGGAAACCTCGCTGGTGGCGAAGTCTTTGGATGCATTCTGAGAGAAGGTCGACTCCGCCATGGTCTTCACCGCTTTTCGCCCTGATAGCCACAATGTGTAGTCATTAGAATATTGATATACATGCTTTTTAGCCTAGCATGGAATCTCCATGCACTCAATTCGCCACCGCCACTCCAAGTCAACTGAATGTCTGCTGAAGTTCTTGCCCACTCCCCTCGCCATCACCACCATCTCCATGGCTTTACCTATGTAGATCTATGGGTCACATTATAGAAGGCAAAACAATGTGGAAGCCTACGAGTCTACGTTGAACTGGAGTTATATTGTCAAGGTCTGGTGCCGCCACTGTGGGTCTTGCAACCTGCGCCAACTTGGCCACTCTCTTTCACTTTGGCGGCTGCTTTCCCCAGATGCACTGGCTTCAGCTTGGTTTCTCCCTTGTCCTTGACCTCTGGGGTCTGAGGTAGAGCTCATCTTCGCTTTGCGGGAGGCTTGTCACCATCATCCGAGTCCTCGGCCCTCGCATTCTTCTTCCTCGGCGAGGCCACTACCAACTCGTCCCGAGTATCACGTCCACGCTTCCGAGGTGGCAGATTGTCTTCGCCAGAGCTGTCTTCGCCATCGGGCTCAGGATGTGCTGGTTGACATTTCCGCTTTGGATCAGAAAGCTTCTTCAAATCTTTAACAGCTCCTAGTGGATGCTGACTACGGGTATTCTTGGTGGGCGACTCATCCATCGCTTGACACTGACTGCGAGTGATCCTGCTGGGGATATTACTCTGAAGGGCATCGGTGATCGACCTTCCCTGGAGCACTTTGGCTTGACCTGACGGATGGCCTTCTGTGGCTGCCACCTTCCTCATCTTAGGTATAAATGGAGGTGGTGGCGGTCGTTCAGCACCACTGCTAGGTATGGACAAGTGTGCATTGTCCTCTTCATCATCATCAGAGGCCCCACCACTGGTCTCCTGGCTCAGCCCTTCATCTCCTCCACTTGGAATGATTGGGTTGTTGGCCATGGCAGCAGGCTGGTGAGCCTTGTAAACTTTGGCAGCAGTAGCAGCGCCATTGTGAGTTCTTGCAGAGGCATCACCTTCCTGCTCCTCCTGGCCCCCAAGGCCATCACCACCTTGAGGGGCACTGCGTATGGCAGGCTTGCTCACTGGCTTCACCATGGCATGGGTGACGTTCCCTTCCACCATGTCCAAGGTAATGATCTCACAACAGCGAAGCAGCTGCTCTACTGCGTCGAATGAGATCGCCGAGTTCACCACATAGTCAGAAAGGTTCGTCGGTTCGCCCTCCTCAATGAACTGAGATCGTGTGAGGTCCCTCAGCACCATACCAATCACGAGTGCAGATTGTTGTACGCCCTGTGGATGTAAGAACCGATATTTTGTCAGCCATGGTTTGTCACCCAACCAGTTCTCAACGATGTCAAAGTTGTCCACTGCATGAAATGACGGTGGGAGGTAGCGCTGGCCATACGACCATTCGCTCCAGGGAATCGGATCATACCTGGCGAAACGATACACCTGGGGCTATATGACGGATGATCAATGGTGGCTATGAATCCCCACGAAAGGAGCTCACCACAGTCGCAATCTTGACTTGCTTCAGCATATCCTGGTATCGCAGTTTGACGGAAAGCATGGCGAGAAACACATCTCTCCTTTTGACGATGTGGGGCTCGGCCTTAAAGCTCAAGCCTCAGCTCCTTTGTACTGGGCTCCAGTTCACTGGATGCTTCATCAGTCTCCTCTGTGTCAAATCTGTGCAGTGTGCCCAGAGAAAGGTCTTGGCGACCTTGCTTTTCCTTCATCTTGGCACCACCACTACCGCTCGCTTAAGGTGCACTGCCATTGGTAGACTTGTGTCCGTTCGTGGTGGCGACAGTCTTGCCCTTCCCTTTATTCACAATTATGCTCTCGCCATCCTCTGAATCTTCATCGCTGGCCAGATCTTCTTCAGAACCCATGCTGGGTATATCTGGCGAACTCCGATGAGAGTCTTGGCTGCTTCTGGAATCATCTTCAGAGTTGTATGCATCTTTCATCTTGCATTTACACCCACCGCCTTTGGCTCCGCCAGGGGCAGCTTTGCCCTTTGTCGCCTTCGATGCCACCTTTCCCGTGACCTTGCGCACAGATTTACCCTTCTTCTTCACCTTCCCTGCCTTCTTCGGTGTGAGTGCTTCTTAGACCTTGTGTTCAGATCCTTCTTCTAATGCCTGTGCTGATCCGTCAAGTGGTGGAAGAGGATCATACTTGGCGAGAGCAGCTTTGCCATCCTTGTCGAAGTACTGGGTGAATCACATGGTCTGCTCAGGTCCATGTTCCTCTTGGCATGCCCACCAGTGGTCGAGAAGGGCACGAATGGGAACACTTGTCAACTTTGAGGGATTGATCCACTGGAAGTTCTCAGGTAGCATCTCTGCTACAATAACCTCATTGATGTCATCTATGCTGTTCAGCTTCGTCCATGGCGACTTGCAGTTCCGAACACCCTTCGCCAATGCTGTAAACTGGTCAGCATCTCCCAATACCCAGTGGGAGTGTCATACCGTAGTGATGATTCATGAAGTCTCGAACTTGTACCTTCATCACCTTAAGAGGCGCTTCCACCATACCTTCAGGCACTGATGGGAGCAGAGGAAAACCATTGGCCATCAACCGAATCTTGTCCATGGCCCGCATGCAATTGGCAGGTGTCTTCTTCACCATCACCATAGTCTCAGTCACACCTAAGGAATCAGGTCAGTGTGCCAGCGACAATGCAACTGAGTTCTTCTTACCGTATTCGCCTTTGGCCCACTCAGAGAACACCTTTGCTGGAGGCTGGTAAGCACACAGCCACCCAGGATAGGCCCCAAATGGAGTTCCATTGGTGATGGCATGGTTGACCTCCACCCTTCACTCGGGGGTTAGCAGATGGTGACAGTCGGATGGTCTACACTCACATCTCTACCTTTAGACTCCCCACTTCCTTCGGATATGCTAGCATGAATGCCATGCGAACGCCCATGGTGTCCCACATAGTCTTGGCGAACTTCTTCAGATATTGCATCATTCGCTGCTCCCTCAGCCTGTCTTAGGTTAGGTTTTGTCTTATGCTATGTGACAGGAGGTACGCACTTCATTTTCATCTTATCATCCAGAGTGCCATTCTGCCAACTCTCCACCTTTTCCTCATACGCCTTCTGCTCCTCCTTGGACAGTTTTGCCCATTCGGCACTCCGTGCCACTCTTCACACCTTGGAGACATTGCAACCCTTTTCTACCATGAGTGCTCTCATGGCCTCAGTCACCTTGTCCCTCTCCAGTGCATCCCACACCTTGAAGGCATTGGGCTTGCCAGAAACATGCATACACTTTTTCGTCACTTTCTCCTGCACATGGTGGGCATGGTTATTGAGCCACTCTCAGATTTTCTGCGGTGAGAGTTAGTGGGGACCTCACAGACATGAAACACTGCTCACAGTTTCCACAATGATGTCATCATAATTTGACGCATCGACAAAGTGTGTCTTCAGCTTCTGGCACAAGCTCTGAACCAGAGTCTTGCGACCCTTGGCATCTGCCATGTCATAAGACTGCAGCTTCTCAGAGAGTATGGGCTGATGCTCCATCAAAATTACAAATCTCATTGGCATGCTTTCTCGATGTTGAGGATGAGATTTTTGTGTTGGGGCAGTGAAGGGGGTCGATAGTTCAATGGGCAGTGCTCTGTCCATTTCCTCGTCGGCCACCCACAACTCAACATGCACGTGCTGATGGCCCATTTGGGCTTACACCAATTACCCTCCTCGCCATGGTGTGTGGTGACTGCTGAAGCATTGTATGTGTATTTTTCGCAGTGGCGGGAGGTGGTGGTAGGTATGCACTAGCATTCATGCCTAATAAAAGGCAATGTTGAACACCGCTTCTATAGAAAAACACACCACACCAACTCTATCTCGCGAATGCTGGGCAGAGGCAATCTGGCAATCATCTGCATGCCAATCTGTGGGATAAAAGGCTTCCTCGGAGTTAGGCTCAGCCAATTAGATGGCAATGACGAAGGGCCTAGACATGGCGGACCACCCGGCCCGTGATCTGGCATGGTGGCATGAAGTCCAGCTCAGCGGCATGATGAACATGTGAGATGTGCAAGGGACGTGCTTGCAAGCAATATGCAGGCAGATGAATGCATACTGTTCTTTGCCATTCTGGCCCCTCCTACATTCTCCCCTGCATCTGCAAGCCAACTGCCTGAGCCCGCCATACACCTGTGCGTTCCTTCAACCGATGCATGCTGTAATCATCCCATTGATTGGCAGACAGTATCAAGATGAGCAATCTGTCACCCATGCCACTGACTGATCAGATTGCAGGAGTCTTGGAGCTCATGTTTCGCCAGAAGCTCTATCTGACCACTCATGCAGCCCATTCTGCGCCATCCATAGAAGTGCCTCCGTCCATGCCATCCGCCCTCCTATTGGAGTGCAATGGCATTGCAGATGCTCTTGTGAAGGCCATACGTAATCCTGGTAGTCATTAGTCTTGCTGCAGGTCTGATCACACTGATCATGCCATTGTAATAGTAAGGCTGTAGTGGAACATTGATAGATATTGTGACAGCCTTTTGATTCAGCTCACAGGGCAGAATGAAGTCCTCAAGGCAGAACTGGAACGGAAGTGGCCTCCTCCATTTGGTGAGAGCGAAATACGCATAGACCAGCCTGCCACCCTCGTGGACATGCATGGACGCATCTTGGCTTGGATACTTCCATGAGTGTTGATACCAGACCACCAGGTGAGTGGCTTGCCCAGCCTTGCACTTAGAGATGGACACGGGTCACACCGTGGGTCACACCAGTGACACCGCACCCGCCACTCGCAACACCGACCCTCGTGTGGGTAAGGGTTTAGACTCACGGGCATACACCGGCGGGTTGTCCAAGTCACCACAGGTTTCATTATCGCGGGCTGCACCACGGGTCCAACACTAGAAAATTGTTATATACAGGGAATTCAAATATATATTATGGCATAATGCGAGATCGAGATGTCAGCGGGTCACTTGTGATCATAGATGACAAGAGAATTGGCCGGTCAACAATGTTGGTCGAGAAAGCCACAGCTGTGAGACTGCTGGACTTGCACTGCCACTGCACAGGAAGTAAATCATCTTCCGGCATCATCTTCCGGCCTGGTGCAGAACGCACGATCCAGTAACCAGGAATATACAGACTTGACGAATCCTGCACGCGAGGGATAAGCTCTTCTGAGAAAAGTGCAGGTGCAGGATTGACATCTGGGATGGCATGGAGTGTTGGCCAAGTGCGGATGCTGCGCACACTGCACAAATTGTCATAAGTCATGAAGACAAAGATGAATAGAGCACTTGCAGAGCGTGAGGGCTTTCGGTCGTTGCGACTCTTCCGGCTGCAGACTCTCGCCGCCTTCAGGGATAACAGGGAGCGACGGTATTGACGGCGAAGACGACAGGATCAAATACGGAGATGCAGCGCTGGGGGTGTTCATCATCTCGAACAACTTCATCGTCGTGAAGAGTGGGGAATCTGGCGAGGGTGACATGGACTGCGCGTACGAGTCGCGCTTCGTGTATGACTCCAAATATGCCCAAGATGACTTGTCCATCACTGACTGTGTCGCGAACGCCATTTCTGACTCTGAATCATTGCTCCACATCGACTCGTCCTGCACCTCTGGCAGCTCCTTTGGTTCTGGCTCTGGCTCTGGCTCCTCCTCCGATGACTCGCTGTCCGTATCGACCTGGATGCCCACCCCCCACAAACAGTGCACCATGCAGGACGTCAGGCGAATAAAAGTGATCGATAACCACAATCGACAGACGCATCTCCCGCAGCATGATTCGGCGTCGCCAGTCGACTTCGAGTATCTGAGAGAGCAGGAGGTTCACCTCCTCAGAGATGGGGAGCAGGGTGGAAAGGAAGTGCATCGGGTCCTGAGTGCGGCCAACTGACCAAGCCACAGATTTTGATGTGAGCGTCCTGCTGCAGGCGCATTGCCTGCTCTTCCATCATCTGAGCATCCGCGTGTCCGGGGGAAGGAAGAACACAGCGATTTCCACACGCGAACGTTAAGCACTTCGCGGCATGCCAGACATGCGAGCCGTTTTGGTTTGCAGCAGAACGAGCGCACGTGAATCTCCTGCGTCGGGCAAGCCGGCACGAAGGGGGAGGGTTGGAAGGTTCATGCGCACCTGGCCAGGGCAGGAAACGAAAAATGACATGGTAGATAGACGAGCGTACCACGGACAGTACGCGCATTGTGCGTGCGGTCAACAGTGAGTCTGCACACAATTCGAAATGTACAGTGAGGAGGCTAGCGCACCTCTCCCAGATGAGCTTCGTGGGCCTATTCTGCTCATTGGAGAGCTGGGAGTGTCGTCGACATGGGCTGGCCCGTGCAGAACTCGGTGCTCATCTTCTCTGTCATGGTGAGCCTGAAATCGGGGGTTGTGCAGAATCTGGGTGAAGAGGTCGCCATCAGGGCAGTAGTCCACGACAAGATAAGTGTAATTGAAGTCTTCGATGATGCAGTGGAGTGTGATGACATTTGGATGGGCGGATGCAAGCTGATGCAGCATCATCTCGCGCAAGTGCAGCTGGCACTGATGCTCAGTGTTGCGCTTCCGAGAATAAGGCCACTTGACTGAGCAGTTGCCCTTGAGTGCCTTGAGCTCATCGCCAAACAGCACCTGTACCTGCAAGAGTACCAGCAAGTATACGCATGCGTGAGAGAGCAATGCGAAAGCGAGATGCACCGGGGTACATACGAAGTTCATGATGGTCATGGTGCTCTTCGGCTTGTTCTCCGGTGTGGGCTGGATGAGCCTGCCCTTGCCCGTGAAAATCGCGTTGAACTCCTCGAGCTCAAACACCTCCTCGATCTTGATCGTCTTCGGCGCGCCCTGTGAGGTATCTGGTGAGAAAATATTGACCGTGCAATAGATGACACCATAACCTCTGTAGCCAAGTATTTCTATGAGTTCGAGGGTGCCATTGTCGATGCAGGTGCCAACAGCTGGTGGTGAGCGGGCTGGAGCAGCGAGCTCAGTAACAGCGACCATAGCAGCTAGAAGAGTGTGGCGTAAAGAATGCGGAGAGTAGAGTGTGGAGGATCGCTGAGCAGAGAGGATATCCTAGGTAAGAGCGAGAGTAGTTGACGCAGGTGTTGGCTTTCGGGTAGCAACAGACGACGAGTTTTTTGGAGAAGTGCGCCTCGAAAGCCAGCTGAGTCTTGTAAGATGGCAGAAGCAGTTTGCTGTGCCAATGGGATGAGTGGCGTGGCGAGTGTGTTCATAGCTTAGTGTTTGAGGCACGATCCTGCTTGAACATCGCAATGCCAAAGTGAGAGCCAAGCGGAGAAGAGATCTTAGTGCCACAACTCGCGGGCCCAAGTAACATATAAACCGGTGTGCCATTGAAATAACCACAATACTTCCAAATGTATTGGCTGCAGTAATATACTATTCTTCATCTACAATAAAATCTAACAATCCGCATCTGTGAGCTACTACGCCTGCTCGTCCACCTCCTCTTCTACAACAGCCCACTTGCGCTTCTTCATGTTCACTGCAGCTATAAGATCAGCAATATGCAGTAACTCTGATCTACCCCAAGAGCCAAGGCAAAGTGCAGCGCAAATGGATTTTGGAGAAAGTCTGTTCCGAGTGAAATGTAGCAATTGCCATCCTTGCGAGAACGCGCGTTCAATCGCAGTGGAGGTAGCTATACATTGGAATAAGTATCATCTCCATGATATTGAGACAGAGAAAAACTCACCGGGTACAGAGAGATAATCGAGAGCCATGCGATGAAGGTGCGGGTACGCCTTCCGAGAATCCCACCACCACCGCAGCGGATCCCTGACCTTCTCGAGGGGAGCTGCAAGGTATTCTTCTAGTTTGTTTCTCGCAGAGGGCTTCATGGCGACTGAAATGTTAGCGAAATCACCAAATTCGTCGTCAGAAGCCTGGATGAAGTACATTGAGCTCGCGGATTAATGCGGAAGAAAGACGGGCTTACCACGGCTTCATTGTGAGCGTCGCCTTGTGCGCCATCAGTGTTCTTCTCATAATGCTTGTGGTATTCTTCGTGTGTCAGCCGTTTTGCTTCCTCAATCCAATTGGCCTCCCATGCATGCTGACAGAAGTATTCTAGCTCAAGGCCTGGGTGGAGCACTATCACGAATATGTTAGCTGGCACAGGTTGAGTCGTGGATGAGAAGCGTACCCATGGTGATCCTGTAAACATTCGAAAGGTCAGTCTTCGAATAATACCTGTTCATGGTCGCCTTTCCGAGCTTCATAGCGGCCTGAATCGCAGGATGGTATGTTCGTGAACCTATCCCGGGTTTAAGCATTTTGTCGATGGTATCCATACTTGGTATAACATTGGCGATGGTTACGACGGCATCTTGTGAGTAAAACAATGTCGCTTTTTTGAATTTCTACAATACTACTTAGTACATGTGAATGCCAAGATTACGAAGCATCAGCACACCTCTAAGATGTGAACGAGGTCTTCCAGGATCCTCCAGTCATCGTTGTCAAGCTCATACTTGCGTAGCTTGAGTGCCTTGTTGCCCGTGATATCATCGATAGGATGACGGTATTTGAGTGCAAACACGATCATAGTGTGGGTGGAGTTCCATCGCGTAACAACATCGCGAGGGATGAGGCAGCTCAGGACTCTGTGAGCCTTGCACGCTCTGTACCACATGGGTAGTGCGACAGTCGTAGAGTGTACAATTGCATAAGTGAGACCCCGGAGCTGTCCAATACAGGGTAAACACACAATCTTATACATCAAAGACAGGCACTTACCTTTACTAATGTCGATCGCACTGCAGCAGTGTCTGCAAGAAGTATATTCTTATCGGCAACATCGAGCTCCTCCAGTTCATCCACTTCTTCAGGATCATCCGAGTTGCTGAGGTCCCATAACTCCCCTTCATCGTCACGATCATCGTCACTGTCATCCGAGTCTGACAAGAGATCTGGCAGTTCATCATCATTGTTGTCATCGCTCAGCTCACTAGAAGCCTCCTGGTCCTTCGACTTGTGATTGAATGGCTTCAAAATTGATTTGACCGCAAGATTGAGGGTATGATTGAAGCACTGTACCCGATTAGCTTCGTGGAAGGAATTTGGCAGCTCATCGAGCTTGCTGAACTGAGTGTCATTTGATGTCGCATTGTCCCCAGTAAAGCAAGTATCTGGAGTGTGATGAGTTCCCGAGAACGGCTGAGACACATTCACAACAGAAAGACTCACTCTCTCTTCGATGCCCAGGTCAATCAGCATATTACATCTTTGTCAGTTATGAAAGATAATCTTTTCTATCAATAAGTAGCAAATTTTCATAAGAATTGCTACTTTTAAGTAGACTTATTTGTAGGTGCATAGATTAACTCAGGATAATCATAATATAATCTTTCAGATAATCTGAGGATAATCTTCTGGATAATCTGAGAATAATCTGAAGATTAGCAATAAAATACAATTTTAACTTTGACACCAGCCAGGATTGAACCCTGAACCTCAGGTTGATTTTATAGAATATAATTCTAAGTGACACTTTAGACCACTTGACCATTAGGCCATATATCACAACTATCTTATATTAAATTAGACATCTTTTTCTTGAAAAAGACTTAGCCAAATTCTGTCTATTAGAAAAGAGTAAGTAAAAGACACTTGACTTTTATCATAGATAGACAAGCCTTATAGACAAACAGTACTCTGCATCTTATTATAGTCTTGTTCTACAGCTTACAGTTTTTGTAAACTATCATGCAGTACTATAGAGTATCTTAATATAGTCATTTATAATATATAAAAAGTTATTGAGAGACAGTATTTTATTTGTTCATTTTAGGCTTATACTCTAGAGTCTATTATATTATAGACTGAGCACTTATATATACAAGATCTTTATAGCTATCTTCTAATTGTATAGCAAAGTTCTGTTTTGCTGAAGTAACTGTAGAAACATATATTCTATTAATTACATATTGTACTACATTATATGAAGGCTGCAAGCATTAGAAAAGACTATAAGACTCAGAGTAATGTTTGTTTATAAGTCTTGTCTATCTATGATAAAAGTCAAGTGTCTTTTACTTACTCTTTTCTAATAGACAGAATTTGGCTAAGTCTTTTTCAAGAAAAAGATGTCTAATTTAATATAAGATAGTTGTGATATATGGCCTAATGGTCAAGTGGTCTAAAGTGTCACTTGGAATTATATTCTATAAAATCAACCTAAGGTCCAGGGTTCAATCCTGGCTAGTGTCAAAGTTAAAATTGTATTTTATTGCTAATCTTCAGATTATTCTCAGATTATCCAGAAGATTATCCTCAGATTATCTGGAAGATTATATTAAGATTATCCTAAATTAATCTATGCACCTACAGATAAGTCTACTTAAAAGTAGCAATTCTCATGAAAATTTGCTACTTATTGATAGAAAAGATTATCTTTCATAACTGACATCACTGACCAACGCGGTAAACTGGTCCTTCGCACTCAACATCCGAGCAGTGATGGACTGCATAGAGTGCTTCGCCAGGCTGGGATCCTTCTCGATCGAGTCACAGAAATCGAGAATCGGCTTCATGACGAGCGCACGTTGCTCGTCATTTCGACTGTCGACACCTTCAAACATCTTCTTGTAAGTAGTATTAACCTCCTTCAGGTAGTCCGCAGTGGTGACTGTTGAGGCATGCAAGTCAGCCGCATGCGTAATGACGACAACAGTGAGGACACTCACCATTGTCCGCCTTCGGATGGTGGTAAGAATACCACTGCCTATACTTGTTAGCAGGATTCGCAGCGCGCGAGGGCTTGAACGACAATCCAGCGAGGATCAGGACGTCCCGGGTGGATTTGCCGTGCTTCCGTGCAAGGTTCTCAGCCTCACGCATTACGACCTCTCCAAAGGTGACCGCGGCAGCCCTTGCTTGCTTCGAGAATGGACCCGTACTCTTCTGCCAATTGGCACCGCCAGCCATGACCTCTCGTTCAGCAATCTCTTCAGCCTCATCAAGCTGCACAACGCGCTGCTTCCCCTTGCCACGAACGGTCCGGCTGTGCGTGCGAAGATCATTCCGCTTTTCAAGGGTGCGTGCATGCGGTCCATGGACTTCAAGTTCGGTGACAACGTCATCCACCATCTCCTCATCGAGTAAGTCATCATCTTGCTCAGTATTAACATCTTCTTGACGACGTCGCAGACGGTTCTCGCATCTCATCAGCTCGACCTTCTTCGTCTCACTGTAGTCGCTACCCGAGTACTCCGACATATCATAATCTACATTTAAATCAGTGATGAGCTCATGCACGCACACGGGATAATCTCACCTTCTTGACCTCGGCTTGTAGCAACATTCTGTCCATCAGCACCACTGTGCACGGAGTCAATACCGCCTTCTGATGACAGTGCAAAGCCCCTGTCCGAGCCACCATCAGACATACTATCGTCTGGAACTTGTCCTTGAGGCTGCTGCTTCCTGACGGCATCATGGGTCATGTCCTGCTCGCGTCTTATGTCACGTAGCTTATGGAGCATAACATATGGCTGGTTCTGTGTGCGGATGGTCAAATTGCGGACGACAAGTGAAATGAGAAAATAAACTTACCGCTCTTGTTGGCTTGCGTAGCACCAACTTGCGGTCGCGATTCCCGGGCATGGGTTCATCGATGGTTTAAGTGTCACTGTAAATGGCGCCGTCCTCCGAGTCTTCGGTGTTGGGCACTCTTCGGTCTCCACCTCTGTCTACATCTGTCCTTCCATGTTCCTCATGAAGTCCATTATCGCCGGCTGGCTCTTCACTGCTCTCGTCCTCGTTGTACGCATCAGCCTCATCAACCGATCTGTGTAGGTTGGCGGCCGCGTGAGCATCTGGCTCTGCTGAGTCGAGATTCGTGTCCTTGTCATTGTTGCTGGGTGCATCGATGCCGTCATCCTCGCTCGCCGGTGCCACAGACTTGCCATCACCACCGTCGGAGTCGGAAGGGGATGTCCTCCCGGCCTTAGTGTCCCTCTTCGCCGGTAGCTTCGCCTTCTGAAGTCGGATAACAGTAAGTAACACACGTCAAAAAACAAATATGGAGGGAGTGGACATACCCCTTGACGTTGCACAACCGACTCCGCAGCTTCTTCATCGGCCACGTCAGTAGTTTTGCTCGTACGAGAGCTCTGCTATAGCGGTCAGATCGTTCAGTAGCATTAGATGATGGTTGCGGCACTCCACCTTTTGCTTTGATCCATCTGTGGCTGGGTGACCTTCATCTTTTGGTGGAGAGACATCTTTCTTCTTCTTCGCGGAGTTGCGAGAACGCGATTCTGAGGCAGTCAAAACTTTCTGAACTCCCTTCGTGTGCGACCGCGTCTGCCGCGGTTCGCTCGCATCCGGTGCAGACCGCGTTCGAGGAGGCATCGCGGCTGAGTTCTGAAGTGCAGGAGTCAGACGATTAATCGAACATGGCGGAGGAAGACGAAGGGGCAGTGGATGGCGTCTACTCACACGGAATTGTCCAGATTTGAGTCGTTGCGGGCGGCCTCCAAAAAGATCCTTCCTGCCGGATTCCGAACAGAATTCTGAAAAGTCCATCAAACTGAGTAAGGGGATGGGATGAAATGCAACTCATAATATTGCGCCCGCACGAAGGCTCGCGCTAGTCTGAAGAAGAGCTGACAAGACCTCAGGGTGTGCTTCAGCTGCAGATCTGCAGTGAGTATCAAAAGGACAAAGAGTAAATGATACTGTACCTGCAGCTCACACTCAAAGGATACCGTGTTAATAATGGAGACTATTGAGTCGCACGACATTATCTGCGTGTGCAATGTTAATTCCACGGTGTCACGATTTGTCAAGATTCATGAAAGGAGCGCGGGAATGTGATGCTAGTGCATCGGTGATGCGCTCGTTGCGATGGCGGTCAGGGCACTCGGGGAATAAAATATTGCCTCGTGGAGCTAAGTGGACCCGATGCACCACGCAGACTCACCATAGCGCGGCGTTCGAAGCCCGGAATGTCTTCATCCATGAGCGAAACATGAGGTGGCGGGCAGGTTGAAGACAACGCGCAGAGTTTGGTTGAGAATTTGTACGGGTATACTTGAAATGCTTGTGCTTCCCCCAGATGCACAGACTCGCAAGAAATTGAGTCTGCGGGTGAAGCTTCAATAGCGTGCTCGACTGTACAATATTCAGGCGGGCCCGTGTAAGTGTCGCTACATTGAGAGAGAGATGACGCGGCCGGATGATACTTGCTCGATATACCGCGATATGAGGGTGATAGCAGCCAGTAAACCATGATCTCAGTACCAGAGTAGCAGCAAACATGCAAAGTGGACTGTAGCCATACAGATGCGTCGATACAGGAGAGGCGGTTGACGAACTTGAGCGATCCAGGTGCCGAGTTTGAGCAGAGTGCGAATGTACAATGGGATGTCCCTACATGGAAGTCCCACATGGTCCTTGCGTTGCCTTCAACAATTCCTTGCGTTGCCTTCAACAATTCCTTGCGTTGCCTTCAACAATTCCTTGCGTTGCCTTCAACAATTCCTTGCGTTGCCTTCAACAATTCCTATTGACTCGGACAAGTCCTTCGTCAAAATTGCTTCAAGAAAGGTGAGCAAACCAATCTATCCTGATACTCTTCCATCTGTCCGAAATAACACACTACTTTACTACAGACAGCTAACTACACCCCGTTTTCTCTGAGAGTTCCAGCAAGCGTCCCTCTAGGGACGTGTGCTCCTTCCACCCATCGATCGCGATGGTTTCTCACTCGACAGTGAGGTCCCCACCGAAATACGTGCAACATGATCCAGGTCCTACTTTTCGACAACTGCCCCACGATGGTATGGTAGACGGAATTCCTTGGTGCATCACAGCTTGCGTCCTTCAGCGTTCGCAAGACCTGCATCGTGAATCACAATTATCTGTGTACATGTACGTCTCGCTCACGGATTAATGCGTCAACGTACACCAGCTATAGAATGTCCAAACTAACCCTTTTCGTCTCTAGGCAATTCGAGGCGGCCGTCATAACTGCGGTTCACCCACGCCCGATCTCTGCCCAAATATCTTGGGCGGATGCTGCCGATCACGACTGTTCGCCGCCCCCATGGCGATGTTTCAAGGGGCTCGAGCATGTGTCAAGCGGGACGTGGAAGGTAAGCCCCTTCTGCATGTCTTCGCGACCATCCCCTCAACGATTTTTTCGGTTCAAGCACTCCCAAGACTGTATCGCAATGTCCTTCCGCCGACCCAGGGCTCATTATTCTAAAGGTTCATCTCCCGTGCATCCTTCATCATCCCAGCCATCTTCTCGCTCAGTTTCTCGTTTGACCTCTCCTGAAAAAACCCCTACGTCACATGTTCATCTCATCCAGCCTATAGACTTCCCTCAACAAAGGCGACCCCACGGTGCAAAGCATCTTTTCCTGCCTGGCCCCGAGAGCCTGGTAACGCTGCCTGGCCGCCTCAATTTCACGCATGCCAACCTTCCGAGAGGTCGATTTTCCACCCGCACACAGCACGGTCCGTCCGCTACTCAGCAAGGGGTTCCTAGTTCAGACGATCCATTCCTTTCACATGTCGACGATCTTCCTGTTTCAAGTCCGGAGCTTTTTTTTTCGACGGCGTTTACACGTCCTTGCTTGATGAACCGGCCGCCATCCGAGCGGCACGCCTCCGGCAGAAGAAGGCCCGCCAGTGGCAGAGGTGGGCGACGGAGGTCATACCTTCGCTGCTCCTTCCCCACATGGAATTACTTCGGTTGAGCGAATCATTGCGTCAAAACGTTGACATCCCACGTGCGTGCACCTGCAGTGGTGAGCACGTAAGAACGCTGAAGGTTGTGTGTGTCTACTTCGAATGTAGGTTTCCTTTCCCTGTGGTACATGATCCTATGCTCATGAATTGCAGCTCTTCGCTATGTAAATATCAATGTTTGTTTATGCTCGCCTGCTGCTCTACAGTTACTCTCGCGCGGGCTGTTCCCCTGCGCGCCTCAGGCACCCACACTCACCATGGACCTGAATCTGCTGCGATTTACTCAACAGCTATTTGTCCGCCTACCTCCTAACACCACGTCGTTCTGTGCGACGTTAGAAGCATTTCTCGGGGACCGGGGATATAAGCTCACGACAAGGGTATGAATTCTCCTTACTGCTCTATTTATATAGCTGCTCACGTCACCAGTAGGACTCATTGCGTCGACGATTCGGAAACGCGCTCCTCTGGTACTCAAACCTCCTCAATGCGACCAAGAGACACGTGCAGGATGCTGTCGAACAAGCCCGATGTTCTGTCTTGCATGAGGCCTGTGAGTCGACATCACGCATTCGGACACCTGGTACGTTAGTAGCGTTACTTGACCGAACGCATCGTATTGACTGTCTTCGCAGATATTGGCTCAATGCGGCCTTGCTCCCCTTCCCCCTCGCCATTGCCCTCGGCCTTCGCCTCTTCATCGCACTTCGATTTGCGCTCGCAATCGTGCTTGCCCTCGGATTCACCGATGCGCTCGACCTCGGATTCACCGATGCGCTCGACCTCAAAGTCTCCGACGCCCTCGAATTCGGAGTCACCGACGCACTCACGCTCGGAGTCACCAACGCGTTCGCCATCGAAGCTGTCATCTCCCGCCGTAGATGGAGGGCATGCTGGACAGAGCAAGTCGTTCACACTGCCGGAGGACCTGCTGAGACCAAGTGAGTACTTGCGCAAGCGATGTCCGTTGTGCTTCGGTGGGAAGGCGCAACAAGACGGTAACGATATGTGAGCTGTGCTATGCTATTTACTGACTGTAAATCGAAACTCATTTGTCTTCAGTCCAGATGTGATCGTTTGTATCGATGCTTGTTTCACTCAAAAACGTAGAAGGGGGAAGGGAGACGGGCATGATCATCCACGCGAAGCCGAGGAGTCAGTCTTCATCCAGGAGGAGGAGGTGAAGAAAATGGAGTCGTATGTTGAGCAAATTCGACCAAGTAGGGACACTGGGCGGCGCCGTGCCCAACCTCCCATTTCGGCCGATGACGATGATGGGTATGAAGAAGGCCTCAAGGTACCAAGGTCTGTGCTCGATGGCTGCCATGAATCCTTCCTCGCCGCCGATGAAAAGCGCGAGAAGGCTAGCACACAGTTTTTCTCGGACACCGGCCTGATGGCATTGCTGTGCAGGCACGATCGCGTCCTTTGGTTAGTAAACATGACCTCGGCAGGGGAGAAACAACATTACGCTCTCGCTCTCATTCAACGGCTCTTCACGCATCTACCCCGTTCCACCACCATCGGGATCTTGTATGATATCGCCTGCCAGCTGCACCGGAGTTGCATCAAGTGGGACCTTCTCGGGGATTTGTTCGACCGCATCATGTTCGCTGTCTCGATCTTTCACGCGTACGGGCATCAATGGCCATGCCAACTGATATACCATCTGAGGAAATGCATTGGATTTGGGCTCACGGACGGGGAGGGTTGTGAACGCTTCTGGAGCTCAATCCGAAAGCTAATACCATCTCTTCGTGTCTCTGGGGTGAGTGTTTCGGCGTGCTTGTTGTGCATCAAAATCTAACCGCTACTTTAGTATCATCAGCGCCTGTTCGTTCTCGATGCACAAGTAAAGTATCTTGACCAGCAGTCCCTCTTCAGCCTCGGTCATTGGCTCAATAAGAAGTGGAAGCAATGCCAGGCCAAGAGACTCGTAGCGGCGGAAGCAGTTGAGCAATGTGGGATCACAGATGAGGTGTTACGTGAGCAATGGGCGGCACAGGTTCGCGATCAAACCAAGCCCGCGCCTCGTACGTCGTTCATTCATATCTCTTATCATGCAAATGTGATACTGATCCGCATACTTCAGGGCGTTCTCGCGATAAAGGAAAGAAGGCAATCCAGACAATCCTGGCACTGCAGAAGATGCTCGGCGCGTACAATGAGAGCGTGCGCCTACTGGAACTCAAGTTACTTGGTGACGACGACGACATATTCAGCATCGAGGAGGTCAGCTTAAAGCTGATGGAGGCAAGGTCTAAAGTAGTGAACGTCAAGCAAGCCTTGCAACGTAAGAAGACTGCGTTGGGAGTTGGTGAGCGGCTGCAGCTCTCACGTTTGATCAACAACGCCTTCCTGAGGCTGCGTATGAATGTGCACACAATCAAGCAGCGCATCCGCGACCGTCTCCGCCAGTGCAAGTTCGAGCTCGAGCGGCTCGAACGCTCGTATCGTCAAATGGTCAACAGTAAGTCTCCACATGTTGGATTTAGTCTAACAACTGACGACATGTTGAGACAACAAGCTCAGCTCTCACGCTGAGTCGTCAATCAAGCGTCGCGAGCCCGGCATCCTCAAGCTGGCCAAGACCTACAACGACTTGTGCAAGCAGATGGACCTTCTCATCAAGCAACGCAAGGCCCCGCGATACGCAGTATCGCCGCAGCTGATTCAAGGCAACGGCCTCTTCAAGCTTGACGTCGATGACGATATTTGGCAAGACGTCGGCCTCGATGATGATGACGACATTGCCGCGGTCCCGCATTGGCTCGGTGATGAGACTGTTTGCGAAGGCATCAAGAATCGCCTCTTACTAGATCGCTGCAATGAGGAGGAGGAGCGGTTGCGGGAAGAAAGGTGTTCTCTGCAAGAGTGGTTTGCGGAGGAGTGGACGAGCAATGAGAGGGCTTGCGTGGATGCAGGTAAGTCTCACTGCAGTTCTCTCTCTGTCGCAGTGGTCTGATTATATGCAGGTGACAATCCAGACCTCCTCTACCAGCTTGACTGTCAACGTGAGTCGTTATGCCGGCTGTGTGTGACGTGGCAGGCCCGAGTACGCATGATCCCTTGCAAACGAGACATGACCGAGACCTGGGGTCCATCCGAAGCACAGCTAACTGCAGCAGCTGCATATGAGATCACCGGAAGCTGGGATGATGAAGGTGATGGTATCCGCTCCGTGAACGCTGCGCGGGATGCCAACGATGAAGATGAGGTGAGCTTTGATGAGGCCACGGATCCCGAAGATGATGGTGAACTCCTTGATGCTGCTGAGGGTGCTGCATTGACCGATGCATATCATCCCAGTGCGGTAGATTTTGACTCCGATAGTCTCTTCGATGATGGAGTCATGCGAATGGTTAGTCAATCCTCGCGCAAGTGGGTGCTTCACCTCTAGAACTTTGTAACAAGTAGGATTGCTCAAATTGTCTAGTTAAAACTGTGACACAGATGAGTGGGAGGTATACAACTTCGGAAATCCAAGTATGTCTGTATATCTCTGACATAGCCATTGGGATGTCCATTTGCCCAGATAGGAGTGTTGTACCTCCCTAGAATAACTTGTTGAGAGATATGATGGCCCTTTGGGACATCCGTAGGCCCATACGGGAGAGATGTAACTCCCCAGAGTGACCTGTTGGGAGATACGTGAAGACTGGCATTGCCCTTTGGGACATCTGTAGGCCCATACGGGAGAGATGTACCTCCCTAGAATCACCTGTTGGGAGATCCACATATGCTGTGATGGCCCTTTGGGAAATCCGTAGGCCCATACGGGAGAGATGTAACTCCCCAGAGTGATCTGTCGGGAGATCCATGTATAGTGCCATGGCCCTCTGGGACATCCATAGGCCCATACAGGAGAGATGTAGCTCCTTGGAGTAACCTGTCAGGAGATCCATGTATGACTGTGGACAGCCCAGCTGGTGCGCAGAACCTGCTTGATAGGTGTACAGACAGCACCAGAATGGCAGTCCTATTCACCAGCGGCAGCATCAGGACAAAATGAATTGTGACGGAGATTTACTCGGAGATGATGATAATGCACGTAGCATTGCGACAGTTGTCCCGCATAAACTGGAATGAGTTGATGAAGAGGATGAAGAACAGCTAGCCACTGAGCAAGAGGAAGAAGACTGAAGGTGGAGAAGGGAGGAGTTAGGGCGCCCAAGAATGCCTGAGCCAACTGGGATGGGCATGAGTGACAATGATGAGGACTATGATTCGCATCCCATCCATCTTCAAGGTGGCAACTCAGACCTGTCTCACCTTCATGCTCATCTGCACTCGCCATTGTCTCCACCTGTCCCCCATGTTCCTGCTTCTTCCTCAGAGGATGTCACTGAACGCCTCAACACACTGTCAAAGCAGCTCGAGTCTGTGCTCGAACTGTCTCACTCATTGGAGATGTAGCATACAAATGCTCAGTCGACGATCCTAAATCTTGAAGCAAAGGTGTCTGCACTTGAGATATTGGTGCTTGCTACCCACATACAGGTGGATGTACAGGAAGAGAAGACACAGCAGTTGGTGGAAGCTGCTGAGGCTGCTGCACTGGAATGACCTACAACTTTGGCACAATTAAGAGAGGAGTGTGCACCCTTTGGACATAATATCATTGTGTCAGAGACTAATATTGATAGTTTGCAAAAGGTGCAGACTTAGTTCAATTTCTTGTTGAGATACTGCTTTGCAGTTTCTCACGTCCTCCTTACTTAGTTACTTTCTTGTTCAGATACTGCTCGGCAGTTTCTCACATCCTCCTTACCTAGTTCACTTTCTTGTTGAGGTGCTGCTCAGCAGTTTCTCATGTCCTCCTTACTTGTTATCACTAGTAAGAACATCCTATGTGTCAATGCAAGCCTTGCTTATAACTGAGACTAGTGATTTGAGTAGACCTGATGCTCACACTTCAGCCAGCGTGCTGTTCTAGACTATAATTTCCTCCTTGCTCATACGATGTGATGGAGCAAGCACAAAAAGTGAGAAGTAACAGCTGACAGCAAGCAGCTATTTTCATTACAATAAAATTCAGATAACAGTGTTTACAGTATATGTAGAAAGCATCTACGATAGGTATACAGTCCCAGTGGCTGCCAATTTGGCAGAGAAATAATGAGCGGGAAATACATATTGACCCCTACCACCATGTGACAGGTGACAATGACCAAGGACCTCCATGGATTTCCCATGGCAATAGGACAACACAGGGTTAAACAGGATGACTATTGGATGTCCCTAGGTATTAGCCCTTCATGGCCTTCCCTTGGTCAGGTACTTCCCCTATAAGGCCATGGGACTTACATAGATACCATGGTCAGTCTGACACCTGAGAAGCTCTTAGCCATGACACAATATAGATTATGTTGAAGCTAAGAGCTAGGTCGGAAGGGTACCCTGAAGTGCAGAGGCTGTTCCTTCACCAAGTGGGCTCTGCCAATGATGCAGGACCTGAGCCACCCTCCTGGTGATCTTCATCATGGGCAGCCAAGGCCTCAATGTGCTTCCCAGCCTTATTCAGCCTGGCAGAAGGCAACCTTGGAATGGAGGGCCTGGTGAGGTTGCCATTCTCCACATCGGTCGTGATCAAGATGCAGCGCTCCAGGAGGTCTTCTGCCAAATCAAACGATAGCAGAGAGTTCACCATAAATGGTGGCAGTGCATTCTCCTCACCCTCCTCGACAAATTGGATTGCATGTAAGTCACGGAGCAGCATGCCAATGACCAAGCCACACTGATGAGCCTCAGCAGCACTGGTGGAGCCATGCTTGCTTACCCAGGGCTTGCGATCCAGCTAATCATCCACTGCATTCATATCCGCTGTCTGATGCAGCAATGGAGGTAGGTGGTGCCTGCCATAGTTCCAGATGCTCCAAGGAATGTCTTCAACTCGTCTGATTTCTCCGGGTGGCAGCTTAAGTACTCAAGATGATCAGTGAAAGTGCGCAGTGCCTAGTGTGAAGCTCACATTGAAAGTCCGCTGCATGATGTTGACCATCTTCAGATATCGCTGCTCCGCACAAAGGCTGTGAAGAAATACCTGCCTCCTGAGATGGATGTGAGGTTCAAACAGAGTGCCAACTGCTGCCGGCACTTTGCCTGCTAATTCTTTCACCAGGTCATTGTTAGTAGGCACTGGCGAATGCTCACGGCCAACAGGCTCATCCTCTGATGTGTTCTGGTATGGCGGCTCTGGCATGTCTCCTTTGTCATCATCACTGCTTTGGGCCTCTTCAGATTCCTCACAACTGTGAGTCTTGTGAGCCTTTCGACTTCCACTAGCACCGCCACTGCCACCACCACCACCACCCTTCTTCGCCTTCGCCTTTGCCTTGGCCATCTTATCCACATTGCGTTTGTGGCTGTCACTGGACCCAGCCTTTTTTACATTGCCCTGATGATCATCTTCGACGAATGGCTCCAGTGGTGGAAGTGGATCATACTTGGCGAGGATGGCAATGCCCTTCTTGTTCCAGCACTTCAAGAACTGCATCATTTCTTCCATCTCATGGGCAATTTCACTCACTCGCCAGTGGTTCAGGAGTGCCTCGACCTGATTCTGTGTCATCTTCGAGGGATCAATGATTACACAGTCTGCGGGGAGCATGTCTGGTGAGATGAAGTCCGCCAAAGGTTGGGCCTCACTGAACTTCTTCCATGGCATCTTGGCATCATGATCACCTGTCACCAACGCTGCTACAAGGTCAGCATAAATAAATCGAGCTGAATTGAGTCACTGACCATAGTGATAATTCAGAAACTCCCTGACTTGATTCTTTTTGACATTCAAGCTCAGCTGCACATTGGCGGTAGGAGCAGATAGCCATTCTTGTTCAGGCGGATGGCATCCATCGCTCTCTTAGGTGCAGCTGGCATCTTCTTCAGCTCCACAACAGCCTCCGTCAGCCCTGGAGGAATGGTGAGCATTACACTAGGCCAGGTAACATGCATCTCCCCACTAACCATATGCTCCCTGGGCCCAATATGCAAAGTTCTTGCTGATGGGACTGAAGGCGGTCAACCAGCTGGGGTGAGAACTGAAAGCGGTGGCTTCGCCAATGTTATGATTCAGGTCCATCCTGGGTGTCCGTTAGCTCATGCTGGCATAAGGCGGAGCGGCCTGCTTACATTTCCACTCTGACAGTACCTCCCTCCATGGGGTAGGCCAGCATGTAGGCCATTCTGACTCCCATCGCATCCCACATTGTGTTGGCAAACTTGGTGAGGTAAGATATCATCTTGTGCTCTTGCATTCTGGACAATTCTCAGTGTAACGGCCAGCGCGGTATAGTTCTCAACGCACTTCACTTTAGTCTCATCATCTAGAGTTCCATTGGTCCAGTTCTGGGCCTTTTCCTCATACACCACCTTCTCTTCCTCTGTGAGCTTTGCCCACTCTGTGCTCCACACCTTCTTCCACACTACTCTGACTGTGGTGTTCCCTTCCGTCACCACTCAGTTGGCGGCTTCCATGACTCTCTGCCTCTCCAACACGTCCCAAACTTTAAAGCTGGTGGGCTTTCCCGCCACATGCATTGACTTCTTGGTTGGCTTTTCTTTCTCATGCCTGATGCAATTGTTCAACCATTTGCAGATTTTCTACCTCACATATCAACGCATGTGCAAAAATGGTGCAGTCCCACCTACGGTGTCGATGGTAATTTTGTCGTATTTTTCGATGTCTTGAAATTCTGACTTGAGCTTGGTGCGCAGGCCTTTTACTATGGTCTTGCAAGCCATCGCATTTGCAGAGTCATAGGACTGCAGCTTGTCAAAAACTATGGCCTGGTACTCAAGGAGGATCGCAAATTTTGTTGGCATGTTGGAGGAGGGGCAGAGTAGATTTTTCCTTCAAGTCAAGTTGAGTTCTCATCCGTAGGCAAGTTTCAAACCCCAGTGCAGGCGGAATAACCTCAACTCAACATGCACATGCTGATGACTGATCTGGGCTTGCACATATTATCCATGTCATCATGGTGGAGGGTTATGACTCCTGCATCTGTCTCACCTCTGGTAGTTGCCAGAAGGGTACACTCATCGTAACACGACACATTGCTCACATACCAATCTTCATGAGTGTTTGTGCAAGAAGGTGCAGTGCCAACTCTATCTCATGGCTGCTCCAAGAAGTCAATCTGGTGAAGATCATTGCTCAGATATCACTGATCTTTGGTCCAACAAATGTCACGCAACCTCGGACTTCCACTCCGAGCCAATCACCGCTCGCACATTGAAGGCCTGGCCTTGGCAGATCATCCAGCCTGCCAACCAGCATGGTGGAGCAGTGTCTGCCAATCTGGCCTATGGCATGAGTTATATGTGATATGTGCATGCATGGCTTCCTGAGCAGATTGTGGGCAGCAGCATGTATTCAGTGCAGTGTTCCAACCTGCCCCCATCCCCAGTCTCTGTCTGGCACCACACAGAGAGCACTGCTTTACCTGCACCTTGGCGGAAGCCATCTAGAGGCCAGACCACAACTTAATCGTGTTTATCAGCAACATGAGCGATTAGCCACCTATGCCATTGACAGATCAGGTAGCGGGTGTTTTGCAGCTGATGTTTCGGCACAAGCTTCATGTTACCACCAAAGCAGCTCATTCTGTGCCAGAGCTTTCTGTGCTGGCCAGCATCCCATCCGGACTTCTCCTGGAGTGCAATGGTATTGCGGATGTGCTTGTAAATGCATTCCGTAATCCAGGTAGACACTGCTCCTGCCGTGAGGGCCATTGCACTGACCGGCCATTTTCATAGTGCAACTCGGCTGGGATGTAGACAGATATTGTGATAGCCTGTCCATTGAGCCAACAGGCCAAAATGAGGCTCTTGAGGCAGACCTGGAGCGCAGATGGCTGCCCCCTTATAGCATCACTGAGATCTGTGTTGACGAGCCCACCATCTTGGTGGACTTGCATGGGCACATCTTGGCATGGATCCTTCCTGGGGTGCTTGCACCAGACTGCCAGGTTAGCATGGGCTTGCATGCCATCTCATTCTCTGATGAATTGATCTGGCAGAGATGGTTCGTGCCACAACTGCCCTGCATCCAGCTCTGGCAGTGAGCAAGCTCTGCACCTCTTCCATTAATTGGCGGCGCAACCCATTGTACTTCTTACATCCTCAAGAATGGGCTGAGTTTCCCGCGGGCTCATTGTGTCTGTCCCCAGGATGGTTCCAACAAGTGAGGGAGGTACGTGATGTCCTCGCTCACCTGCACCTCGCGCTAAACAGCTCGAGAAGCACATGGACTTGGGCAAGCTGGAAACATCTGCTAGCCTAAAGGTGAATGGCGGGCAACGCTGACTGAGTGAAATACACTAGTCCTCACTGTTGGATGCCATCCTGGTGATCGTTCACCCACCGCTGTACCTGGCAGGCCGCCAATGCCTTACACTAATACAGCAGAATCCGGAGTTGGCAGAAGTGGCGATGGAGTGGTCATCGCCATTCAACGCACTTCAGATTATCTTGCCCTCACTGTCCAGCTATCAAACACAGGCATGGATGCAGAACTTACCAATCAAATTGCAGACTACATGCGCCACCGCTTTCGTCTGCAGCTCGACTGTCAACTCGGTAAACGGTACAATATTCCAACCATTCCTACATTCCTGGACCAGCTCCTCATACAAGAATGTGACGAGATTGTATCATCATTAACTAAGGCCTTCACATCACCGAGTGGGGCTCCTCTACCTTATTTTCTCAATGTAACGTGCCACTGTTATATTGTGGGGCACAAGTACCAAGCGGTACTTGTGCCCTAATCTTATCTAATCTCATCATGTATTACATAACTGTTGTGTACTGTTTGTATGCGCTCTGCGTGTATTGAGTGTGCGTCGGTGTGTTGAAGTCAGAGACTTTAGACACCATGACCTTGATACACACACGACGCTCCAGAATAGAGCTTGGTACACTGTATCTGAGGTTCAGTGTCATAAGGTCTCACCCCCTCCCATTATACTTTTTTACAGTCCATTTTGCCCTGCGAAAAATTCTATTCGACAGCGAAGACCCTCATCAAGAAATCAAGAACCTTAACTTGCCACCCAATGGCGAGTCAAGGCCCCAAAAACACACGGATAATGCACTCCCAGTCAAGACAGGCCGAGCACACAGCCCTGGCAGATGTGGCTGAGAGCACACCCCATGATGGCATGCACGTGGACACCAGCACACCAGCACAAGCAATAATGGACTGTGAGCAAGAACTGGCATCGCCAGCCCCACGATCCCCTGCACTGTCGTACGTCGAACCTCCACGCTCAACACGAGGAGGCCGAATGGATGAGCAGCAGTGGGAATCTGCCTCTGACTGTAACGTCAGAATGCCAGTGAGATCCACTGAATATCACCAGGTCAGTGAAGAAACGGAAATGACGAGAATGGGAAGGACGCCACGACATCCTTTGCATTACTTGCAGAGATTTCTGTCCCTCGCCCTGCCAGCGCAACCAACATCTTCCTTAGCAGATGAAATATGTCACACTAAGGATAAAGCCCCAGAGAGCACTGCAAGCATGAGCTCGTCAGAACGCATGTGCAGAAAGAGAGCCCGAGAGGCACTCCAGCAGGCTCAAGAAGAGGCAAACTGCAAACTCGACACATTGCAAGAAAAGCAGGAACGTGAGATGCAGGCCATTTGTGAGGCACACAAACAGACCTGCCAAGCGCAGAACGAGCAGTTTGAAAGGATAATGGATGAACTCGAAAATTCCTCAGGAGATGAAGTTGACCCAATGGATCAACCCATCCTCTCGGGAACGAGAAACTCCATTGAGGAGATAGCGGTAGAATGAGGATTATACCCCTCACAGGTCGAGGACCCGATGGCAGGTGCTCTCGATATAATTATCGAGAGCGCGTATCATCAGCTGGCCCGACCACAGCAGGAGGGAGAGCTGGATGAGGATTACAATTGAAGGGTGTTAATATACACCAGATACTTGGACCGGATGGCCTCAGAGTCCGAAAGAGCATTGAGGGCATTCGAAGTACAACTGCCGGTATCATCGACACCTCGCGCGATGTGGGGATCGCTCCAATCTGGAACAGCTCCAGTAGCAGCTCCTGAAGGTGACCCCGGAAGTGACGATTCAGACAACTCCAGTCCATACCCCGGAAATGATGGGAACGACTTCGACCAATTCAGAAGAAATGGTCGAAGGCCTGCAACACCACCCAAGGGACACCGACCTGGAGAATAACGACTATCGCGATCCAATGGATCAACTCCACCACCACTGCCTCCTTGACCAACACGACCTGCAGGACCTGGATACCCCCATGGGCTGCAAGGGCAGCCCACGGTGGGAACAAACACACGATCTGCAGGACCGATGCAAGGTCCTGCAGTGAACGCAACGGTGGCTATGCAACAGCCCAACATTGCTCGGAACATAACATTCCAATCGGGAGTGATCTAACCAAACCCGGCAGTCACTACCACAGTGAACCGACCCCCTCGATTCCCGGGAATGAATACAACAGCTGCACCAGGTACGCACACAGGCCACACGACCGTACAATGATCGCATGACCCAGGAGTGATACCTCCGGATACGTCTCCCACAATCGAGAGGATCAATGTTGTGCGATGGTACACTGCCCGCAGATTGGATTTCTTGAGGAGTTCCATTGCCGACATCACAACTACATCCTTAGATGGGTTCTCAAAGGTGTGACCTCATTCGAGGGACATTTCCTGGCAGACATTTGTGACGGATGCACTTGGCCGGTACCCCCAACCCACGAGTTATTATCACTCGTTGATGAGGATGTGGTGATGCAGCTGTCAGACCCCGAATCACCCACACTTGGCACTGGCAATGCCCCTGCTGGCAGCAGTCAGCTAGGTCCCAACCCTGAAGTGACCCTCGAGGCTGGGGACCCCAACCACAACATGGGCAGCCACTAGCTCACACTGGTGCACCTCCCATTGACGTGCCACTGCGGGCCACAGCTGGGGACATGATGTGTACCCTCCATGTGCTCACAAACTGCCTGTGTGTTCTGGCTGTGTCTGTCATCACTTTGGCCTGTTGTTTTACCTCATCATGCCGTCCTGCCTCACGTCATCATCTGCGTCATCTACTCAATGGCACAGTCGGTGTTATGGTCTCATGGAACGTGTCCAGTGGGGGAGGGTGTAACATGCCACTGTTGTATTGCAGGGCACAAGTACCAAGCGGTACTTGTGCCC